TATCTTTTTATTTTTAAACACAAAAGGGAATGCTGCAGATCTTCAAGAATGCTACCACATACCCTGTCCAATGGGATTCCTGAAATAAAATTGATGGCTAGGGCTCTGGTAGCAGGTAGTGACTGGAGATGGTCAGTTTTAGATACACCTCAGTGGTACCAGTAGTACTCAGTGGTACTCAGTGGTCTGTATTGCAGTAGTGCCTTTGAGCTTTAAGCACCTTAAAAGGTGTAATGGGGAATATGGCATGAAAATGGGATGGCCTTCCCCTTTTAGGGGCCTATAACGTGGTATAGGGAGTAAAATACTCGTGACAATTGCATATGAGGCAAACTTAGTGCCCAGAGAGAAATCTGAGGGATTGCTTTGCGCATGGTGGTCAGTAAAGACTTTATAGAGGTGGCGGCCTTTTAGCGAAGGCCTGCCCACCTTCTAGAGGTAGAGATGTGTTTAGAGGGTGCAGTCCCTGGGTGAGCATAAGGAATATGCTGAAGCTGACAGCCAATAGGAAAGAAAAAAATCAAAGGAAGAAATATTATGTTAGACTCGTGTGTGTGTGTGTGTGTGTGTGTGTGTGTGTGTGTGTGTGTGTTTGAGATAGGGTCTCACTATGCAGTTCAGGCTGGCCTTGAACTCACTTTGTGAGGTTGGCCTCAGTGATCCTCCTGCCTTAGCCTCCGAGTGCTGGAATTACAGGAATGTGCTGCTACACTCACCAGCACTTTTGATTTTTAACAGGGACTCACTGAAGAATAAATTTTAGAGTAGGTATTTGTTTCAAAAGCAATAATTAGGTGATAAATTTGTCCGTGCTTTGGAGTAATGACAGAGACACAAAAGAGCTAAATGTCCTGAGTGCTTGGATTAGGAAAGGATGTATGCTAAATTATTTTGTATGTTATTTTATTAAACCTCAGCAACCTTGGACAAATAGCATTTATCTCATCTAAGTGACAAGGAGCTGAAGCCCAGAGGGAATTAGAAACATTTCCTCAATAAATCAGATATGCATGTTAAATATCACAAGATTCTTCTGCAAAATAAAAGACAGAGAATAGGAAGTAGGGCCATAGATCCCTGTCAAAGGGGAAGGGAGTAAAGGGGTGGAGGGGGAGGGCAGGCAGGTAAGGGCAGAAGGAATTAAAATGCATTCTGTACCTGTACCAACTCCACACGTGGAATGTAAGCAATATGTACTACAAATATTTACTAAAGCAACTTTCCCAACATGACATTGTTAGTGAATGATGACATCGTTTGCCTTCAAACACAAAATAAAAAGTAACTACATATTTCATATGGACGTTCATTTTCCTCTCTATACTTTGCTCATTCTCATGCAGGATGACATTTGGACATTTATTAACTCCAGGAATTAACAGTTGATGTAAGGGGGGTTGCGGTAATTTCCTCCCTTTTCTGTGTTTTTCTGGGAGGCAGTAAGGATTGAAGGCGGGGCATGGCCTGGGCTAAGGTTCCCCTCTGCCCGCTAGGCTACACTTCAGGCCAAGTGTTGGAGACACAGACTTCCGGCTCGGTGTGTTAGAGAGGGAGGCTTGTGGTCCCCTCCCATAGTCAAGGAGCTGAGGGGAAACAGCTGCCCAGCCAAGGAGCCCAGTTTTCAGCTCTTTTGCATTCTTTCCCATGGAGAATATGTGCCCAATTATTTCCATTTCTTCTCATGCTTTATCCCCACGCTCCAGCAGAGGGAGACACTTCTGAAACCTACAGGACAGAAAAGGCCTGATTGCCTGGAAAGCTGTCAAGTCACTAAAAGCTGTGGTATCAGACATTCCTTGGACAAGGAAAAAATCTATTGTATTAAGCTAAGGAGGTGCTTGTCTGTCCCTGGAGCTGGCATTTTAACCAATCAGTTGCTAATTGGTTTAAACTTAGAAAGCAAATAACTAGTACTTATCAATAAAACCCATTTATTTGCATTTGTGAATTGGTTGAAATAGCTGTTAAGGTTTAACTTGCAGTGTAAGGTGTTCAGAAATGTTTAAAAGGCAGTAAACTTTCCTTCTCATTCTCTGGACCTAAAAGAATTGAGGCAGCGACAAAGTTAATCAAGGAGTGCCACATGAAGCCTCAATGGTTTCAGTCAATTCACCCCATTCTGTGCTTGTTACCACGCTCTCTTTGTGTTTTCCAAAAGACATGGAAAAGGTGATAAATTCAACTACTTAGTGCTCCTGCGTTTCTCCTTCAGATCACCATGAAAAGCTTCCAATAAAAGCAACTGGAGATTTAAAGACATTCAAACCATTAGAAGCTCTTATCTTGGTTGAGCAAAATCAAAACAATCTCAGGGTTCTTTTGTTGGGCACATGTATTTGTTCCTTGAAACATATTTACACCTGGTTCCCTTTCTATGTACAGTAGCGGCCTGGTAAGCTACACAGATAATGAAACCCACCAACACTTTGTTTGGTTCCTACTGTTTGCACTGATCCCACCTTCAAGGTTCATGAATGTCAGGCTATTTCAATAATCTCTAGTTTTTTCCATGGAATTAGTTCTATTTTCATATATTACTTAATATATTTTAATTTTATTTTTAAGTGGCATAACAATTGTGCAGGGTACAAGTTGAAATTCTGATGCATTTACACAACAGGAAATGACCAGTCCATGCTAATAAGTATATCTAGTATCCTACACCCTTACCCTTTCCTTTAATGAGATTATTTAAAATCTACTCAGCGTTCTTGAAAACCGCCACCTATTAACTACAGTCACCAAGTCACCAAGCCAGCACTGGTCCTCCTGCCTCCCCGAACTGTTGACAGCTTTCCTTGTTTCTCAAACCTTCACCTCCACCCCTGTAGAAAACAGGGCACCCACAGAACTACTCTACCCTCTTGGACTTCTCTATAGCACAAGAGGAAGGAACAAGGAACCCTCTTTGCCCAGGAATTAATGCACAAATTCCTTTTCCTATACCTCCCTAACCACCCATGCTGACACATGTAAGTAGGTACATTTTCTTGGACATCCACTAATAATCCAATCTGCTTTAAGTAGCTTTCTACCTCAATCACCAGCGTAATTTAGCTTCATTTGGGGCACCCCACCCCCAGTGCATAAAATTATATCCCAACATGAAAGATAGCAGCCTTTCATACTAATAGAATTCAGAGGAGGGAAATCAAAGTGATCTGTTGTGCTCAGGTTTTTGATTCGTGAAACACACAATACACGAGGCATCAAGGTATTGAAAGATCTGAATGGTTCTAGAGGATGCCAGACATTGGGGAGGCAGGGGAATGGTACAGAAAGCAAGAAGCAAATGTAAGATGTTCAGGGTAGAATCAAAAAACAAAAACAAAGCAAGCCTGGAAGATCACTGGGGCACTTAAGGCAGACTTCGGGGGAATGAGGAAGCAGAGAGGCCCTGACTGAGTTGGTATTATCCTGGAGGAAGAGAAGGGCTGCTCACACAGGAGGACCGGGAGCCAGGCCATCTGGAGTTGGACAAGGCGTGGACTGCCTGGGGTAGGTGCCACAGTGACACTGGCCAGAACTTCACTATGATCGGTTGGGGTTACTCATGACAACAGAAATGCCTGTCTGGAAACAAAGTGTTTCAGAGCAGGATCCTATTGATTTTTTTTTAAATTTCTTTAAAGAGAAAAAAAAAAAAACAGTGAAAGGGTACAAGTAATATAGAATTTCAAGAAAAAAAATGTACAGTAAGAAATCACTAGTTAATGGATTACATATTGTCATCTTAGAAATTGTTCAAATTACATTAAGATAGCAAGAGGCAGTATGGTAACCATTGTTGATCACCTAGTATTTTGCTTTTACATTATTATGTCCATCCTTTTGATTTGACTGATTCTGTTCTGTTATGTCACATTTGGTTTTACTCTCTTCAAAAAAAAAGTAATAAGAACTGTGGGAATAATAACACCCAAAATGTGTAATTGTCATTGTACAAAAGAAAGGAAAAGAAAGTGCTCTAAAGAATATAACTGCATATATATTTAAGTGTATAACATAGATAACCATATTACTGAGTTTTGTTGGATCATCGAACAAAACTGTTTCCAGTCTCACTGTTTGAAAGTCCACTTTATATGCTTTAATTTTGTAACTTGAACAACTATTTCTAAGATAACAATATGTAATCTATTAACTAGTGATTTCCTATTGTTTATTTTTTCTGAAATTCTGTCTAACTTGTACCCTTTTTCTGTTTTTCTCCTTAAATTAAAAAAAAAAAGAAATTGTTCAACAAAAGTATACAAAGTGGACATTCAAACAGTGAGATTGCAAGCAGTTCTGTTCCATGATCCAACAAAAACTTAGTAATATGGTTTTCTATCTTACACACTTAAATATACATGCAGTTTTAGACCCGGAAGCACTGATGAACATGAGGGGCCCTAACGTGATAGCTCACTTGGAGAAGTTACATCTTGAACTCGAATGTGCCATCCAAGCAGCAGTGCTGGGAAAGCAGCTAAAAACGTAAACTGGAGCTCTAGGGAGAGGACAGAAGCCCTGCTACTGCGAAGGTCTGCGCTGGACAGTGGCCCTCTCCCACCCCAGAGGAGGGCTGCTGTGCCCATATAATAAAAGCCCAAGGTGAACTGCAGACTTCAGACTCCAGGAAAGTCGCCAAGAAATTGGAGCCTGGGAGGGGAGGGGTTTAGCTCAGAGGCACAAGCGCCTGCTTGGCAAGCACGAGGTCCTGAGTTCATCCTCAGTACGAAAAATAAATAAATAAATAAAATAAATCGTAGGTTGAAGGAGCGGGGAAGCTGAAGCATGTCTCTCATTCCTCTCGAGGTCTGGCCTTGTCCCTGCTCCACCAAAGGTCCTCCCCCGTCTCCAGGCCCACCAGAGACGGCCTGCGAGCTCGAGCGGCGTGGGGGGCCCCACTGAGGCTCCCCCAGCCCCTCCGGCTTGGGCGCAGCCCGGCTCCTCCGCTGGACCAGGGCCGAGGCCCAGGCCACCCGGCGGGCTCGCTGGGGTCCGCAGCACGCGGCACCGCGGGAGGAAGCAAAGGCTCAGAGCTCCCTCACAACTCCGCGCAGGGGACCGCTAGGCGGCGCTGGGGACCCGCAACCCGGCGACCTGGCGACCTAGGTGACCCCTGCGACCCCGTGCACGACCCCCGCTTCCAGCCGCCGGCCCCCGCGCCCAGGCTGCGCCATGCGGATCAAGCGCGGGAACTTGCTGGTGGCCTTGGCCACGCTGGTCCACGGCATGCTGTTCAGCTTCACCTGGTTCTGCCTCTCCAGGATGACCCAGACCAGTAAGCGGGGACCGCGGACCTCGCGCGCATGCCCGCCCGCAGTTGGCCCCGCGGTAACTGGCGCCCCGTCTGATCCGGTCTGGTCTGGTTCAGTCCGGTCTGGTCCGGTCCGGTCAGGTCTGGTCCAGTCTGCTCTCGGCCTTCCACCCCGCCACTGTGCCCTGGGGCTCCCTTTGTTTCCAGAACCGCGAGGCTGTGGGCTGCCCTGTTTCTCTGACTCAGTGTCTGCCTTATCTTTCACCCTAGTTGTCCATGCTGTGACCTTTAGAGTTCATACACTTGAGCTTTTTAAGATTCGACAAACTGGGACTTATTAATCCAGATCGCTTTAGGTTAAATTCTCATTTTTCCACTGAACGCATTTATGACTTGGGTGTAAACCAGGTCATCTCAGCAGTTGCCTTGAAGCCGGAGTCTGAAAGTGACCTCATATTAAGTCCTTTAGTCAGTACTGTGTGGTGTCATAATGTCCACAGAAACGTCCAGTTCTATCTCAGCGAGATACTACAAAGTACGTTGTAAGATTGCTAGTCTTCTTCTTTTTGTCCTCCTTCCTTTTCTCCAGACTATTAAAATGTTTTTATTTGTCTTAGAACAAACAATGAGCACGTTTATAACAAAAATAAATGGTTTCTTGTAACCAGAAAGCAAGTAATTTGGGGAGGCGATTTAGAGTAGTACCTTTAGAGAACATTGAATATAATTAATATTCTTATATTCTTGTAAGAATATAATTAATATTCTTACAAGGATTTACCGAGATTCATACAGACATTTTGATGTTCTTGTTTTAGTTACAACCAGAAAGAAGTTTACTGCCTCAAAGGATTTAGATTCCCATCATCCAGAGATTCATGTATCTCTGAGAATGAAACACTCTTAAAATAACAAATAAATTGGAGTTTTAATTTTCTATAACTTTATCATGTTAGTCATTAATTTCTTCAACAAATATTTAAACTCTAGGAAGACAAGCTCTTTTCTGTCTTAAAGCCAGAAAGGTTTCTTCTCATGGTTTCAAAGGCTTTGCCACAGACCTTTTCTCTCTCCGAATTCTGAGCATTGCTTTTGTCCCCAGCGTTTGGAGAACTGTGCAACAGCTGATAGGTGAGTGAAGTGTTTGTTGAAACACGGAGTGATGGGTGCCAGAATGAGTGACTGAGTTTACTGAGTACCTGTTTGCGTTGCAGGCCCTAGGTTAGCAGCACCAGCACCAGCACCACCGCCACCATCCTGCTCCTGGAGTTTATGTCATGGCTGGGGAAGCACATGTGTAGTATGTGGTTACTGCCTGAAGTCAGGTGTAGGCAGGAGCAGGAAGGAAAGTACTGCAGGTACACTTGGGTGCTCACCTGCCTTGAAACTCACCAAACTTGACCTCCAGTGCTTTCTGACTCCATATTTAGTCCCCATGTGTGTCATTCCTTTGCTACTCTATGCACAAGAAAGAATTTGTTGGTAGCAAACGCATTGTGATTCACTACCCTTTTCAGCCAAAACCACTGATGGGATACTCGGTTTTTGGTGCTCTTTGCTCTTCCTAGAACTAATCAATGAAGGTTACCAAGGAGCCCATGTATTCTGATGTGGTTGTCACAGAAGGATTTTCTGTGTGAGTTATATTTGAACAGATTTCTAAGTGAAGTGATGAAGCATTTGTGTGGATATTTGGGGAGAAATCCTCCAGACAAAGAGGAAAACCTATGCAAAGGCCCTGAGTTACTTTGGGTTGTGTTTAGTTTGACGCCACAGTAGGACTAAGAGGTCACCGCAAGGTTTTGTGTAAAGGAGGGGCACGATTGTATGAATATATTTAAATGATTGTTGGATTTGGGTTATGAATGAAAGGAAGAGGAGAGAGAAAAGAAAAGAAAAGATAAAATATTCCAGACGTTTTGGTTTCTCAAGCGTAGCTGTGTTGACTTTTTGCACTGGATAACCCCTTCTGGGGATATAAGAAGCACATCTTACATATTGCAGAATTTTCACAGGATCTCTCCACTCCATCCAGCAGATACCAGTAGCTATGTCCCCACTCCAGCTGTGACTATTGATGTTTGAAAAATCACTGTTTGTTACAGTTTAGATCTAAAATGCCACCCAAGGTCACGTGCTGGGGGCATGGTTTCCAGCTGATGTCTTCCATGAGAGTGTGAGTCTCATCACTGGAGGAATCTGCTGATGAGTCTATTCACAGGTGCATGCAGCCTGGGCTGTTCGGAGGCAGGGCCCAGACATAGGACATGAGTGATCGGTGTCTCCCTGGAGACTACATGTTGTCCCTTACCCTGTCATCTTCCCTTTCTCATTGTTTCCTGGCTGCTGTGAGGTAAGCAGTCTCCCTATGCTATGCCATTCCACCATGGGGCCTGCTTTGCCACAGGCCAAGAGGCTATACAGCAGCCAATCAAGGACTGAAGCTCTGAAACCGTGAGAAGAAATAAACCTGTCTGGCTGTCAGTTGTTTTTCACAGGCGTCTTGTCCCAGGGATAAAGCACTGACACAACTGAATTAAATAGCTAAGAATGGAGCTGCCATTTACTGAACTGGGGGCTCAGGCAGGAGCAGGTGTTGGTGGTAAAAATCAGTATTTCTGTTAGGCATGAAGTACCCATTAGAGATCCTGGAGAAAGAATTGAGTGGGCCATCGGATGTGTCAGGCTGGATCCACACTGGCAAGATTAACTTGAAAACTGTCACCATGCAGTATCAAAGCCATGGAATAGGATGACACCAGCAGGGAACAGACAGAAAATACCAAGCAGTAAGGCTTACAGTATTTCACTGTCAAGGAAAGCAAGAGAGTGAAGCCAAGAAGGTATTTCAGGGAGACGAGGACCGCCACAGTGAAAGACAGAGTAAGTTCTCCAGTGCAGTAGTGAAAAGCCATCTCACTATCCACCAGGTCATCATTCCTGTTGACCATCATTGATGACCACAAACAGCCCATTGTGTCCAGGCCTTCGGTTCTTGAGATGCTTCATCCTCATCAACATGGACAATTACTCAGGCCACCATTGTGCCCATGTGTGTCACATACCAGAGACTGATGCTGTCTCATTCCCAGTGTCGGAGTGATCACTGATAACCGGTCCCAGACTCCCTCCTTTAAGAGTGTGTTTCCTGCATCTCTGGGCGTGTGGCTCTGGAAGATAGCTCTAGTGTAAGAGTTATAATTGGTTGTTTAAATACATGCTCCTTGTCCCATTCCCTGCAGCCTGCTAGCCAGTTAATTTAGAGTGGAAACCTGGCTTTACCCTGTAGCCTGTTGTTCTCCTGTAACCTGGAGAACCTAACCTGCAGTTAGGGAAACACAGTAAGTAGTCAAGGGGAGAAAGAATGAAAGTGTCAGCCTGCCTCTCCTCACCGGGGTACTTACTGAATGAGGAAAGCCAGTGGAGGAGGGCATGCCCAATTGTTTGTGGCCTTGTGTACCAGGGTAAGGAGTCGGGGCTCGTGCACCTTTTGTAGGCCCAAAGCAGTGTTTCCAAATTAGTCATGAATTGGAGGTGAGAGACCAATAAAGAGGCAATTACAGTCCTACAGCTGTAAGCAGTAAAGGCTGTACTATGCTAATGTCGGTGATCATAAAGACAAAACTATTAGAGGTCTGCAGCAGTGCTTCGCAAATTTTAATGTGCACACTGGTCAACTGGGAACCTTACTGACATGCACATTCTGATTCAGTTGGTTTGAGATGAGTGGCCTGAGAAGCATTTCTAGGACGATGAGAGCTGACCTGCAGAGATTTGCATGCCAGGTGTTAAAAAACATCATTTAAAATTGCCTTCACCGATTCCTTTTTACCTTTTAAAAATGTGGCTGCCTGGAATTTAAAATTACAAATGAGGCTTGTATCTTATTTCTACAGGACTGCAGTGTTTGACCCCTGCTGTGAGAATCAAGATTCTGTAGTATTTAGGATCTCACCGGGAGCTTTTTTACTTGGGCTGACATGGTGCTGGCTCCTTAGGCACATGAACTAGTGTTTGTTCTCACAGTGTTATTACATTACAGAGATGCTCGGTGACTCAAAGCATCTCATCACCGCTTATTTCAAACCTCTGTAAAGTGGCTTGGTAACATGCTGTTCTCAGTAAATACTGAATACCCAACTACTGCACTATAAATACTGCAACTAGAGTACTGACCCTTTGATTTATCACAGAAGAAAACTGAACAGCAGAAAACTGAACGCAGTTTGGAAGCTGTAGTCTGGGGGTGAGCATTGTGTATGGAGAACGCCCAGGAGCCAGCACCCCACCCCACGGTGGAGGAGGATCTGCTCAGCTAGGAGGACTGTGCAGCTGGAGCTGGGAGGGAGGGCAGGAAATGAGGCCAGAGCAGAACCCAAAAGCAGACAGTTAGAGCTGAGTTTGCAACAGGAAGGCCTGTGGCTTGTTCTCTGTGTGTGCTCTGAGGCCTCGGGCGGCTCTGAGCTGAGCAGTGGCTTCCCCCAGCATCTGCCATCACCTGTCATGTGTGTCCTTGCTGCCCCAACGCAGACAGAAGAAAAGCAGTCAGTATGGAACCCAAGCTGGGTCACAGCTCAGTGGCACAGGATTCTCCCTGGAAAGCACAAGGTCCTGAGTTCAATTCCTGGTACCAAAAAAAAAAAAATGGAACCTAAAAAAGTCATTACTATTTGTTTAGTTTCATACTGAGTCTTACGTTTTTTTTTTTTTAAATCCATTGAAATTTATTGCCACCCAAGTCATGTATTCAACTTTGGTTCCACTCACATCATTGCCAATTTCTGTCCTTTCTCTGCTAACTAAAATAACATCTATCCATATTCTCATGTCCCTAATAGTTTCTCTGGCGATAAGGTATGGTCAAAACATAGGGTGAATGTTTAACTTTAAATTAGTACAGTAAGAGACACTGCCATTAACTCTCCTTAAAACACCCCACTCACCACTCTCTGAAGTGGTGCTGGAGCCCTCTTTCCTGTCTCAGCCTCCCTGCTGTGGCTGTGCTGATGTTCTGAAACCATTTCATGGTCACTTTGACTCTGGGAAGAAGCCAGAAATCACGGGGTGTCAGATCCGGTGGATCAGGTGGCTGAGGACACAGCCTCATGTTTTTTGAGCCTGTCCTTCTGCTGGGTGGCACTGGGCAGCAGCATCCCCTACGTTTCCAGTCACACTTCCTAAAGACACTTTTGGTTATAAGTGTGTATATATTATTTGCCCTCTATATAAGTATGTGGATGTACATATTTTACATTTTTAATCCCTGTAAATTGTGTCGTACAATTGCTACATGTATAAATACATACTTTTGTCTTTTTCTTTGCAGGTAATCAACTAACTAATTGCAAAAACCATATTTTGGAGTTTAAGGAAACCATACTACATTTAAAAAGTAGAAGTAAAAGAAATAGTGAAGAACTCGCAAAGGCCTTGACTGAGATGCAGATTGAAATTATGCAGAGAAGAAATGTGCCACGAGATGTAGGTCTGTGTTGCTTTTGTCTGTGTGCATGGTAGCTTATCTGTCTTATGGTTCAGTTTCTGGAGATTTAGATCGAATGCCTTCTGATTGTTAGGGATTTTCCCCTCCATGGCCATCACTAAGCTAGTTCCATGTTCTTACTGCGAGGCCGAGGACCACACTCCAGTTCTTTCTTCTCTCTGGTCTTGTACCCACCTATTTGTATCCACCATGGCCAACGGGAAGGCTGCAACATCTTGAGTGCAAAGCTTCGTTGCTCCAGGGTGCTTCTCCCGTGCGATCCAGTTCTTCCCCACACTTCAGCCCTGGCGGTCACGGACCGGCTTCCTGGCGGCTGTGCAAATGCAGCCATACAGGGTGTCACCTGGAGACAGGCTCACCTTTCCACCAAAGACATTTGATTCGTTTTGGCTTTAGGCAATTACAAATCAATGCCGCGGTAAGCATTCATTACCGAGGGCTTTTTTGTTTTGTTTTATTTCAAATGAAGAGACATTTTAATTTTTAAGGATTACATCTAGAATTGATGTGGTGTTGTCAAGTTTGTGTTTAACTTGATTGAAATTGCCAGACTGTTCTCCAGGGTGGACGCACCACTTCGCGGCCTCTGAAGCAGAGTAGAGGGTCATTCCTGCTGTTGTGTCCATTCCAGTGTCAAGATGCCTCAGTTCTAAGCATTAATTCTCTCCATGATAGTGGCGTTGAACCTTTTTATGTGCTTATTTGCTATCTAGATATCAGTTGACAAACATCTGTTCCAATCTTTATCCCGTTTTTTAACTGAGCAGTTTGCTTTCTTGTTGGATTTTGAGAGCGCTAAATATTATCCTGGATACCAGGTGGATACGTGACTTGGAAATACTTCTTCCACTCTGTGGCTTGACTTACCTTTTTTCTTTTTGTCTTTGGCTTTGTCTTTTTCTCCACCACCTGACCTGGTACTGGGGCTGGAACCACCCCAAGCCTTCACACTGAGCTATATCCCTAACGCTTTTCAAGTTTTGAGGCAGGGCCATACTAAGTTGCCCAGGCAAGATTTGAGTTTGCAATCCTCCTGCCTCAGCTTCCCAAATGCTGGGTTTACAGATGAGCACCACCATATTTGGCTTTATTTCCTTGATGTTCTTCAGAGGGCAAACACTTTTCTTTTCGTTGAAGTCCAATTAATCAGGTTTTTTTGTATTGTTATGTTGTATTGAAAGCCTCCTTCCTTAGCCCAGGTCATAAGCATTTTCTTTGTTTTTTAAAGACTTCGTAGTTTCATGTTTTACACTTGTATTTTTGAGCTAATTTTTGTAAGTGGTCTGCAGTACAGAGCAAGGCTCAGGGCTTTCATTTGGATGCTGAACTGGTCCAGCTCCAGACTGTAAGCTGTCTTTCTGTGCTGATCGACTGCCTTTCAGCTTTGTCAGAATCACTCATGTGTGGGTGGGTGGACCAATTCTGTATTCTCCAGTCTGTTCCACTGCATGTTCTTATGTAATACCATGCCATTTTGATTACTAGATTATGTGGAATGAATTAAAATTCAGTACTATGAGTCCTCCAAGTTTGTTTTTGTAATTGTTTAAGAAAATTTTAACAGAGGATATAAATGCAGTCACTAAATGTTTAAGGGCTAGAAAATGATTATAAAGATGTAAACTTTAACGAAGCGATATTTATCAGAATTAAGAAGTCATTTCTCCCGCATGTTTCATCCTGCTGCCCTGTGGTGTAACAGCTCATGGTGCTGGGTTTAAATTAAAATAACTTTTAAGATAAATATGAATCAATAATCTCTAAGTATGTGTTATTATAGTATAACTTTGATAATTCACATTTAAGAATATATTTCTTTTTTATCCTAAATTAGAATGTCGATTAACTTACTAACCATTATTTTAAAAATCTGTATCAAATAGAAAAAAAATCCCTGATTAAAAACTCAGAAGTGGGACTGGGGATTTAGCTCATTGGCGTAAGTGCCTGCCTGGCAAGCACAAGGTCATGAGTTTGATACCCAGTATCACAAAAAAAAATAAAATAAAATAAAAAATGAAAACTCAGAAGCGGGGCTGGGGATTTAGCTCAGTGGTATAAGCATCTGCCTAGCAAGTGCGAGGTTGTGAGTTCGATCCCTGTTATCACAAAAAAAAAACTCAGAAGGCCTAGTTATTTTCTCTTTTAGATGAGAAGAAAATGAATATACCAAGTGAAGGAGAAACAGTTTCTACAATATTTGAAGACTTTAAGTTGTTTCTACCTCATCTAAGGAGTGTCAAAAGAATTTATCCTAAAGTAATCATGAGCCAAGGGAAAACAGATGGTAAGAAGACTCAGACGTAGAAAACTGCTAGATGTTCTGATATTCGGGGGAATATGCTTTAAAGTTTGAAAGTATAATCACTTGTATCCCAGGAGATTGAGAGGACCCCTCCAGCCCCTGTTTGGCTTTAGGGAGGCCTTGTACATCAGCAGCCAAGATATTCTCTGGTCTGGCAGAAAAAGAATAGTTGTATACATATTTAGTACTTTGATTTAAAAATCTGTTTTAATATAGATACTTTAAAAATAAGTCAATACGAATCAAATATACATTAAACATCTGCTAAATACTTGACAAATCTTTTCTCTTTGGTTTTGAAAAGCTATTTGTACTTAGCTGGTTTCCTATTTTGCCATCTTCTAAAAAGAGAGCCTGGTCAGCCAAAGTTTTACACAGAAACAGCGCTCACCCCTGCAGCATGAGATGAGCTCAGTTACACAAAATAGGAAAAAAAATGGAATTTGAAGCAAGAATATTGGGCCAAAGCTGAGTTTTATCCTATAGCAGTGGAAGATACCTCAAGAACTGTACCAAGGTAGTGTGTTCCAGCCCTTGAAACTTGATCCCTCATCACATGGCACAGAAGAATCAGTTTCAGGTCTAAACTGAAAGACAGACAATAGGCCTTCTTGAGGATAACTTGGGAGAATATCCTTAGGATCCAGAGATAAGTGAAGATTTCTCAAAAGAGTGAACGAACTATGAAGGAAATGACGACTAGACTGCACTACATTAAAATTCAAAATTTCTGTACGTTAACAGACACAGTGCCGAAAAGGGAACCCAGAATCGGGGTGATATTTTATGACACATAACAAACAAGAGGCTCATATTTGAAATATATAATGAGCATCAGTCAACCAGTGAAGGAGCCAGGTATGCGGCACACACCTGTAATCCCAGCGCTCTGCTGAGGCAGGAGGGGTACAGCGAGCTCAACCTAAGGGCTCCCAAGCATTCAAACTCAGTGGTAATCTGCAAAACACTAATTTTCCCTGTTATTTCCAAAGCTTAGTCTCTTTCTTTAAATAAACGTTTCCCAGCTTGTTGTATACTATAGCCCTAAAATAACTGTTTCATCAATCTGGTGATTTAATTTTCTTACTTTTTAAAAGATGATTTTCAGAAACCCTCACTCAGCCATTCTGGAAGTCCCTCTTATTTTCAGTGTGGGGAAACTGAGGACAGAGAGGCTGTCTGTGTTCTTCCCTCCTCTCACACTGCCAGGAACTGGGGCCGCCGTGCTTGGCTGTGGGTAGATTCCTTGATGAAATCTTCATGCAGCGCTCCTTTAGGATAACGTGGGCTGGTCATCCTTAGTGCTTCACTTTGTACTGGGCCACAGAAAGGCATGGAGTCCTTCCACCAAACCACTCAGGAATTACTTCACACATCTCTCTCAATAATGAAGATGTCTCACAGTCTTCACTGGTTCCAGTCTCTTCAAAGAAGAAGGCCAGAGAATCAGCCATTGTGTGACAGTTAGTACCGAGTTAAGTGAAAGCCATGATGAGTTTGATTTGATTTCCATTGCACCAAAACCTTCCAGCGTAAGACCATTGTGGGGCACATTTAATCCACTGACTAAAATATAATCAACTGGAAATGAGAATTCCCTCCAACAGAAAATGAATGATTTGATAGCATAGAGTTATTTTTATAATGTAGTTTCAAACACTTTTTCTAAGCATAAGACAAACCCAGACATAGAAAGAAGCATAAAATTAATGCTGTTGTCTTTCTTTGTGCCTTGACATGACGCTCCCACACTCCTGTGTCTGCAGTTTCTTTTGCGCTAGGAATTCCCACTGTGAGCAGAGGAAATCACACTTACCTGAACCAAGTGCTGAACTCTGTTGTCACCGGGATTAAGCCCTGGGAAGAGGATGCTGTAGTGATCATTTCTGTCGCAGATGTATGTATGCAAAATAAGAAGTTCTTAGTCCCTCCCTATTGTTCCAAATTCCCTTCCTTCATGGGAATCATTTTATAATTTCAAGTTTTTATGGTAAAATTTTTAAAAATGGAATACATGCCTGTTTTGGGGTGCAGACAATATTTATAATATATTTTGACACTTTTGAGAGAGAATTAAATATATAAAACTATAAAGAAAACAAAATGGTTTAATGTGGGAGAGATAGTTTTGATAAATTTGAATTGCATCTAATATAGCTTTCTATAAGATACATTCTATGCATTCTCTAAAATACAAAATTATATTTAAAAACAAGAACACTGAAATTGATGCTATGGTAACAGATGTGCTTAGCCCAATGAAATATGGTAAATGTTGCAGGGTGTGCTGACATATGCCTGTAATTCCAGCATTTTGGAAACCAAGGTAAAAGGATCGCTATGAGTTCAAGGCCACCTGGAGCTATCTAGTGATTTTAAGGCATAATAATAAAATATTTTTTAAAGTTCTGCACACATATATCCAGAAATAATTTATCCAGCCACAATAATTAACATTAATTGAGGGACTCTTTATGCCTGAGGGTTTGTGGAAAATTTTTCTAGACATTATTTACAAGCTATGTTACATCCCTAGAAAATAAATATCGCCATCCTGATCTTTCAGATGAAGAAAAAAGAGCTTAAAGAAAGCTAAGGAATTTGATCAGTAATTAAAAATTCAAATTTAGGTTTCTCTAATGGCTCCAAAGATTTCTACTTTACCCCCAACACCATTATGATAATCACTGTAGAACTTGAAAATTTAAGTAAAGCAACATTGTACTGGGTATATATTAGTACCATAAGACTTTTTGAAGAGAATTTGGCAACAAGTATCATATTTAAAATGTGTAAATCTTTTATCTCAGAAATCCAAATTCGAGGACCTTATCCTTAGTAGATATTTATGCAAGAGTTTAAACACAATAAAACGGTGACAGTTTAGAGTAATAGTTGAACCTCAGGCTCTACATCTGATTGCCGAGGTTCAATTTCAACTTCCACGCTTCCTGGCTTGTAAACTTGGGCAACTTACTTAAGTTCTCTGTGCCCACTTTCCTTGTCTATTTATTGATGCTGATGCCACCTGTGCCACAGCATTCTTTGGGGAGGAGATAAGCTAGCATACTTTAAAGTACTTGACTTAAAACTATGCAAAACATAATTATTTCAGTGCAGTAGTGCTTGATGTCAGCATAATATTGGGGGGAAAAACAAAATATCTACCAACAAGAGGCTAACTAAACATTTTAGATCTCTAATGCAACACTCTGTGGTCACTAAAAGGAAAAAGAGTATCTCTACACTGATACAAAATCATACCCTTACCATATTGCTGAATGTGAAAAAGTTATAAAGCACCACGTTTAGCATAATGTATTCCATGTAAAATGAGAAAGAAGAAATACATAAAAATGGGTGTGTAAAGAAAAAAGAATTGCCAACTTTATTTTTTTCCAACTTTCGACTGTTAGCTGTTTGTCTCTATGACAAAACACTGAAGATAAGCAGCTTAAAGGAGGAAGAGTTTATTTCAGTTGATGGTTACGGAGATTTCAGGCTAGGTGTCTTGGCTCCTTACTTTTTAGGCCTGAGACAAGGCAGGAATCCCACTGTGGAAGAACACTGGAGGAAAGCACTCAACTTATGGAAGCTGGAAAACAGAGGGCGAGGGTCTCAGGGTCTCCTTCTAGAGCGGGACCCCAGTGACCTAAGGCTGGGACCAGCCCTTGCATACATGGCCTTGGGAGACTCAAGATTCAACCCACAGCATTAAAATAACGGTCTCCAAAATAGAAATAATGCTTATCTCTGGATGCTGGAAGTTAGAGGAATCATGATTATTCTTTCACTTGAATGTCTTAAAATAAAGATGCATTTGAATGTGCAAAAAAAGCCCTCTACACAAAATTTGTCAATGGAATAACTACTAGAAATATGTAAACAAAAGATTACACTTACTCCAGTTCATCCCGGTTTCATGACATATATTGGAAGCACATACATAATCCCCATAGTGTTTTGACAAACTTCTGTGTTTATTTTGGTTTTTTGCTTTTGTTTTTGTTTTTGTCTTTTTGAGAAAGGCTCTCACTCTGCAGTTCAGGCTGGCCCTGAGCTCACTTTATAACCCAGGATGTTCTCAAACCCAGAACGATCCTCCTGTCGCAGTCTCCCCAGTGCTGGGATTATAGGCGTGCATCACCCATGTATTTCTGTATTCCATAGTCTTTATTTGTTTGCTTTTTGCACATTGCATGTCTGTTTAAAATACTTAGACAAAAATAAATAAATAAATAAATATAAACAAAATGCTTAGCAAATAAAATATTGGGGAACCAACTTGAAATTGCCACCAGGAAGGCTTAAGAAGTATATTAAGTGATATTTAAACTAATATCTTCCAATGTTGATTCCATTTATGGCTCTCTTAAGAATTTTAGGTACTGTAATACACTTGGCTGTATTATATCTGATGTTTTAAAACAACATGGTTATGCGTAGTCAGCTGCCTTTTAGAGTGCTCAGGTTTGACCACAGAACTGTCATCCTTTAAAATACTTTCAGAATTTTTTACTGGAAACATTTGTGGGCTCTGAGGTTGTGGGTTATAAACAGCATCAGTTATTTTTTTAAAAAGTCCCAAAGGGATCAAACACCTGAAGATTTTCACCAATGAGTTTGTAGTCCGATCTAGCATACTGTTCGATGTTCAAATAGCAAGTCAGAATTTAGGACAGAAGAAATCTGGAACTCAAGCTGAGTCCTACTGTCAAAAAATTGTGGTGTAATTTTAAAGTTAATTGTTACATAATACTCAGAAAATGAAGGTATTTTCTGCAAAAGCAGTTCTTTAAATCATACCAAGATGACCATTTTTAGAGCAAAATCCTTTATCAGTAAACAATTCCGTGTACTAATGTTTAAGTGTAAAAATGGTTAGTGATTTTTCATATTGTGGCCAAGGGACTGTGATGAAATATTTTCTGCATCCAAGTCACATTTTTTAAAGTAGATTTATAAATCTCATATAAAAAGAGGAAACACTAGAAAATATGAGAATGCTAACATTCCACATATAGATCCACATATAGCAAAAATGTTTTAATAATAAAACCATGAGTCATGCTTGCTTTCATCAAATTTTTCCTCATTTGTAGAGTAATGAAGATTATGTAAAGTGGGTTGGTGACATGGTTACAAAAAAGTGAGTACTGCATGATAAAGTAGCCTTTCTTTCATTTTCTGCCATGCTTTTCTCTGTCCAGTAACATTATTATTTGCTTAGGATCATATTCTTTGTAATCAATGTAGCTGTGCGGCAGGAGCCTGGTAGCTAATACTAAACTGGGATGAGGTATAGCTTATGAGTTCTCTGATTTTGCAAGTTACCAGCTTATTAAAATTCATAGGTTATTATTGTTAAAATATGTGTCCTTCATGAAATCTACTGACCTGACAGAGAGTGCTAAATAGTGTTCAGAACACTACTGTGTGAGATACAGTGCTGGAACCAGCCAGAGCACGGGTTGACGAATCAGCGCAAAATTATCTATAAAGCAAGACTTTACAGAAGAGACTCGGGTCTCCTAAAGCTTATATTCAGATGGGCAGTAGGACTCGTTAAAAACAAATCACAGTGTGGAGGCTGTCATTAAACCGTATGGGGATTCAAGACCACACAAGAGAAGTAGTATTTAACTTTTTGCCAATTCCCCCCTGGGCGTAGCTGCCGCCTCCTGCAGTCTCAGCATTCTGGGGGTGAAGCAGGAGGATCACAAGTTCAAGCTCAGCCTGGACAATTTAGCTACTTAGTGAGACCCTGTGTCAAGACTTAAAAAGGCTGAGACGTAATTTAATCCTGAGCACCGCCCCAGTACACAAAAGAAAGAAAGGAAAAAAGATTTTTTTTCAAGAAGTAATGACTGAGTTGAATCTAAATGTGTCAGGAGATCTTCTTCAGGAAAACAAGGATACATGCTGTACTTTAAAGCATTGAAATCATTGAGTATTAAGCATTTTATTTCTGTTAGGAAATGTATCAAGAATAGTTTAAACACTGCTTACCTTCTTGTTTGTCATACAACTCAAATATAAGGCTAACATCTGTTCCTACTTTGGCAAATTATACTACTTCTGAGTTCAGACCAGGTCTGAACATTTTATCATTTGCAGTTCCAGGGTGAAACACTAATTCTGAGTTTCCTTAGTGAGCTTGCTTTAGCAGCTTCACTTCCAGCGTGACTTGCTTTTCATGGGGACCACCTTCCTCACTGACCTCATGACACGTTCACCTCCACCAGCGTCCCTTTGATGTGGCTCTGGGGTCTCCCCAGTGGAAGCTGTCAACATTCTGGGGAGGCTGCCTTGTACTCACATTGCAGAATCACTGCCAGCACCATTGCTTTCTGCACTTTCATCTGTTTGTGGATTCCTTCTGTCGCTTCCCACTTCTGCTAAATGCCACATGAGTTTTTTGACGACTAGGAGACTCCGGGGACAGCACATGTGCCTGCCTTCCTGTCTGTAAGTGCATAACCCGTGCACGGGGACCGGTTGCCGACTGACTGGCAGTAGCCTTGCGCTCAGTCACTGATGCGCACCTGTTCTTTCTGTGGCGATTTGGGCACGAAGGAATCAGTGGTGCAGTTTGTTCTCTGCATGATGATCTGGTTAACACCGCATGATGCCTGCAGTCTGAACAGTATGGTGGGGGAGGCTGTTGCCTGACTAACTCACCATCACTGTAATTGAGGCATTCGGAGTGATGTAGTTGGAGCCACCAGTTTTGCACAATATTGATGCCGTGTATATAAAGCTTTGTTCTACTTTTTACTTTAGACAGTGAAAAATAAACATTTTTTTGAGACTTTAACATTCTGATGAATAATGTTATTCCTAAACGCAAATCCTTCTTAGCACTGGTTTATGTCTCTAAAGGAATATCATTTCAAGTTCTATGGGGTTTCCCATCCTTTATCTTGATGATACGAACTTCGTATGACAGCTTTTGTGAGCAGTATGCTATGGATTTTAGTAATGTCCTTGTTGATCTCTGTATTAACTTTTAAAAAATCATAAAACATTACACATAGTTCTCATTAAATTCAAATCTATACATTTAAAAAATCTAATGATATTGCTTTCTTGGAGCTGTTTTCATTACATTAGTTGCAGTATCTTAAATGTCAGCATACACCTGCGTTTATAAACTTGAAAAACTAAAAGTGACAGGTTTTTCCTGGAAAGTGCCTCTTTTTGATGTTGGACAGCGCCTTCCTGTGTTTTTCTCGTGAACCCAAAAGTCAAATGTCCCACTTTTTGCGCACGTGCGAAGGCTCTCCCAATCAGCTATCCGTACGTCATTCCGCCAGTCCCTATAATTCTGCCCCTGTCAAATTCAAAATAAAGCCCGTGGTTCTCCCCCAGAATTTCCTAAGGGGGCCTGCCTCACTTTAGCAGCCCTTCTGTGCCCTCTTTTCTTTCTTTCTGCTTTCTTGTTTCTCTCTCGCACCTCAACTGACCAAATAAAAAGTACCTATAATTTTTACAAATTGAAGTTATTTCAAATGTTAATTTTTAAATATGTCTGCCATTAATTTGGAAGAGAACTACTTTAGCTAAAAAGTAGTTATATGATATTGATACCATGTCAACATGTGAAATAATTCAAATCACAATATTATGTGGATAAATGCATAATTTTTCAGTATTTATGTTGTTTTGCTAAATTAAATATTAAATGTGGTCATTTACTTCCATTTACAGATTCTATAGTCAAGTGAAGTCTGGATCCTTAGAAGTTATTTCAGTCCCTGACTTTTTTTATCCAAGCATGTTACACGAGGAACCAACTGATGATGCCCAAAAGAAGAAGCGGTAGGACATGTTGGAGAGCTGCACTGCCTCAGTTACTTTCTCCTCACTCAGACACAATATCCAACACCAACGACTTAAAGAAGGAGAGGTTTCCATTGGCTCATGGTTTAGTCATCAGTGAGTTGGTGGCAAGGCAGAATCAGCATGGGGGACTAGCTTTGTTTTTTTTTAAAGTTGTAAGTGGTGCCAGGTATGATGGCGCATGCCTATAATCCAGCACTTGGGAGGCTGAGTCAGGCGGATCACAGAGAGATAGCCCAGCCTGAACTACAGACAGTTTAAGGCTAACCTGAGCTACAGAAAGAGGCCTTGTCTCAACAAAATAAAAATAGGAATAAAATAAAATGTAGTATGTCAGCATCTAGGGGTTATTGTTCAGCTTTTGTTTTGCTTTTTTGATTTTTAATTAGTTACTCACCTTAGTCTCAGTTTTACAATCATAAACTAGGGGTTATCCTGGACTTTTGTTTTTCCTTTTGCCCTTTATAGCTCTAGCACTTTTTTTTTTTTTTTTTTTTTTGAGACAGCTTCTTGCTATGCAGTCTAGGCTGGCCTTGAACTCTCTATAGTCCAAGCTGCCTCAGCCTTTGTTGCTGGAGTTATAGGCTTGCACCACCACACCCCTCCAGCATCTCATTTAAAATCTCTCTCCACATTATTGCTCTCCTCCCTGCCTGGGCCTGGACTCAGGCCTCTCTCCCCTCCTCTGGCCATCACAGATTCATCATGACGTGATTACTGCCGCCCTTGCCATGGCCAGCATCATCCCACTCGGTGCTCCAGGCTGTGTGCCACAGGTGCCCCCACACACATTCAGGCCTGTGCACCGCTGCTCGGTGTTCGAGGAGCAGCCTGGCTCCCGAGCCCACTCGCTGCACTTCACTGCGATGCCCTTTGTTCTGCTGTGTCACATGGCACTTTCCCAGGTGTCCTGATTTTGTGTTTTAGAAGCCCACACAATTTTATTTATTTCTGCAGTAAAGGAGATCAGACCCAGGGCCTCATATGCCAGGCAGGTAACTCTGCCACTGAGCTACCTTTCCGATGCTTACTTATTAATTCTCTGCCGATTCATAGTAGATTATGTGATCCAGACATAAGGGCACTGGTCTGGGAGTCCAGCTTTGTATCAAATGAGAATAAAACTCTTTTATGCATTCATATGAACAAAACTCAAGGTCAGAAATAATGTTAACTTCCTCACTTACATTAAAATTTAACTAACTGAAGCTATAAAAACTAGATTATGTTTATCCTAGTTTAGCAATGGCAGATACCTCCCACTGAATAGAGAAACAAGCAACTTTTTAGCATAAATATATTCAATTTTAATTAATACAGCTATTACTGTTAATAAACTGTGTTTAGAAAGTATTTTTGTTTCCTAGCATACACTTCTAAAGATGAGCATTAACAGATTTTCTTGTCTACTTGTAGTTGGCGTATAAAACAAGTATTGGATTTCTGTGTTTTAATGGCATATGCCCAACCTAAGGCCACATATTACTTACAGGTGAGAACTTGATAGAGGTACAGTTTAAAATGACAGCATTATATTCTCCCTACTTCTTTTAATTTCTTATTTCTTACTGTGTTCCTCTGCCTTGCTTTGTACCAGAACACAGAAAATACCCATAATATTGAAATGTCAAGAGGAATTTAAAAATTGATTATATAGTAACATCCTCACTGGGATCACTATAATACAAGAAATTACAATCACCTGAAACAAACTGAAAAGCAAATCTAAATTAGGGAAGAAAACAAGAAATCGCACTGCCTGTGTTGTTTCCACCCACAATTTTACTAGACTGAGCACCTGTGTTCTGAGCGCTTCCTTTGTGTCAGACGTTGCATGTACTTTTCACTTTTCCCTGCATCACTTCACACTTTATGAGTTACATAGTTCTACGTGCCTGATGTATCTGTAAATATAAATCAGTTTTTATCTCTCATTCCCTCCATATTTTTAAATCGTAATGGCATGGTGCCCAAAAATAAGTCTGTACCTAGCACACTGGAAAGTAGGAAGTTAGATAAAAACTAAATGCAAGATTTTCTCTTTTCTTGGGAAAATAACCCTTGTGATCTCTATTCAATGGCAGTAAAATGGAAACAGGAGAGCCAGCAAAACCCTGCACATCCTGTGCCCTGGTGAGGTGTCTGGGGACTTCCACACTTTTCAAAATCATTGAGAGGACCTACATGTTTACGGATTACTCGATTACTCGTAATATACGTTAAGTGAAAGGAAAACAAAAGAAAAAGAGAACTGGCTCTTGTTTTCATCTCCCCATCTCTCAGGGAGCCCTGTTTTTCGGGGTCCTTGTGCCATCTCTCTTACCAGCCAGCTGTGGGTGGGAAGAGTTCATTTTCCTTTTGTCACCTCTCTGCCAAGGACTGTTTTCTCAGTCACAAGAGCTGGAGACAGAACACGGCACCTGTCATTCCAAGCACAAAGTTAGTCTTGCTGCAGTCAGGACCTCTGTGTTCCTTGGCACAAAATGACTGTTGGGGTCCTGGCCCCCAAAGCAGTGCTATAAGGTGGTTTGGGGCCTTTGGAGGTGATCAGATCATGAGGGTTGACGGGTGGTGATTGGGGCGAGTGCCTTCATGTGACAGACCCTTTCCCCTCATGAGGGCATACAGGAGACAGCACTGAGGAGTGGGTTCTCCTCCACAGCACACGCTAGGTCTGCTGGAGCCTTGAACTCCAACCTTCAGCACCCAGAGCTGTGAGACATAAGTGACCACTATTTATAAGCCAGCTGGTCTAAAGTACTTTGTGGGAGTATAACAGAGAAGTTAAAAATCAGCAGTCCAATTCGCTATAAAGTCACTGTGCTCACCTAGCCCACCACGTAGTTAGATCTTTAGACTCAGTCAGCCTTGACAGACCAATGGCACCAACTTAGGGACAGCCTGACCCAGCTCAGTCGGAGTGCATCTATCTGGACAACTGACACATAAACGTATTCTATTTGCATCACTGTCCAACCAAGACAAACTAGCCAAAGACAGCCTTGGTTTCAACCATCCCTCAGCCCCAGCTCCCTCCCTGCCTGTTTTCTCCTGCCTTATTATGATAACCCTTCTGACCACCCTGCCCAGACAACTGGCCTGACATCATACAACTTGATTCATGTAACCAGTGATAGGACAACCTCTGTCAGCTTTTAAACTTCCTGCTCATAAAATGTGCGTACATCTCTGTTTCACTCTCAGTGGGTGCTGGTGACTTGGGCTTGGTCCCACCAGCCCACTTGTGTAATAAACAGTTGCCTTCCAGCGCCTCAGGGCAGAGGATCGTCCATTTGGTTTGATGTCAGATTTGCACAATGATAGCAGCCCAACTCTCTCTTACCTTAGAAACTGAAGTACTTGTGACAATGAAAGTGGATTTTGACAACTGGACCCTTCCATGGAGAATTTAAATTGAGTGGTATAGGTTATTATTTAGGAAAGATAAATATAGTCTCACTGGTTACTTTCAGAATCATAAAACAAAAGCTGATTATAAAATGTCTTCAGTAAATTAGACTGAAAATGAAGTTATCTCATAAAAGCATCTTTTCAGTATATACTGTTGCAAATATTTTCAGTCTTTAAGCTCATATAATTTACTCAATAGAAGCATTCAAAATCTTGATGCCTTTTTAATGTATTTTTTCTCCAGCTACAAGATAATATAATAGCTAAAAAGACATACTTTATAGAATTAATCCAATTTGTAAGTAATATGACTTCGAACGATTGGTTTTGTATTCAGTTTTCAGCGCTGGGATTCACAGGTAAGTGATGGATTTATTTTGTTGGGTCCAGCTTTTGTGCACACAATACTCTTCAGACTTAAAGAATTTGTCAAAAACTTGGTTACTATATGGGAAGGAAAGGCATAATTCCTATAAATATCCTATAACTGTAATAATAAAGTCAGCTTCATGTATTACAACTTCAGTAACATATTTTTGAACAATTTTTTCTAGATAGACAACATTAATGAGACAAATGACATATTACATAAATATGTAAGAGCAACCATTACTAAGTCTGGCACCTGTTGGCCTAGGGACAAAGTTGTACATTTCTCTTTTTTATTTAGAAGAATATAGAGGGGCTGGGATGGAGCAAGAGCAAGAACCCTGGGTTTAGTCTCTAGCACCAAAAATTAAAAGAAAAATCTGAACCTCATAGAAATGAAGATACAAAGGAAGGAATTTTGTCTCAGGACTATTGTACTCTACTGTCTGAAGTTTCTAGAATGCCAAGGCTGACATTCTTTAAATACGATTTATGCCCACCACAGAAAACTGAAACTGAGCCCATAATTTGACTTTCTTTCCCCGCTCATCCAGACTCCCTTTCTTCTTCCCATTCTTCTTTCCTCCCCTCCACTTCTTTCCCGCTGACCTTCAAGGCATCTTGTAGAATTTCACAGTGTGACATTATTGATTCATCTGTTATCTATTGACCTATCCCGTCATTTTATTTTCTTCTGTTCCCAATGCCTACCTCAACTTTCTCTCAGACCCTAAGATGTTTCACTTGAATGTGTTCAAAATATAAATATGTGTACATCCAGGGATGGCACTTAGTGTTCCTCCGGTTTGTGTCTGCTTTACTTCAGTGGTAACACGCAAGCCTGTTTCTGTTCCTTGCATTTTTGTTCTCCAAACCAGATTTTCAGATGTCCACTGTGTTGCTTTTCACTCATTTAGTTTCCTGTTTCTTACTGCTACATACCTAGTGCAGGGTAATCCCCTTGGCTTGCCGTCCGTTCCCTGAGTGGCCAACCTTGATTGGTTCCAATTTTCTGCTACTCCAGAAACAATGAAATGGCACGTGTGTCCCCAAGGTGGGGTTGCTGAGGGCAAATGCAGCTGGGTAACTAGCAGAACCTGTTGCTTCGTGCCTGACTCTGTGGTTTATGTTGTCGTGAGTAACATGGATGAGCTGTGTTTCTCCATAAGATGTCAACATTTGGTTTCATCCTGTACTTTTCATTTAATTACTTTATTTTTGCTGTCATTCAGAGGAATATAAAGTTTTTCTGAGTGCCAATAAGACTACCTAAAGATAAGCATCATGTGCTTATCTGGGCACCATTTTGTCCTCAATTATTCTGTAAAATTTTAAGATTTTTATTCAATTTTGGCCAAAATAAGAAAAACTGTAGGTATTTAGAACACCTGACAAGAAGCTTGGAGAGGAGTTGCTCTCGATGCTGTACTTACTACTCTAGAGTTTAAAATTTTCAAAAAATTTGTCTTTTCCAGCAAGCTAAGTATAAGAAACACAGAGTGGGGTGCTGACAGCTAATCACAGAAGAGCAGCCGAGCAAGGCTCTCTTATGTGTGATGCGAAGCCTTAGTTAAACTTCCTTTTAAAAAGTAACACAGTAACAGCCATCTAATTCATTATTTACTAAAATTATGAGCCCGATAAACAGGATTTTACAGCATGCCAACAGCAGATGGGGAAATAAATCAAGTATTTTCATCTTTGACTCACTTGCTTTGGCTTCTAGTTAAGTGAGTAGAGATAGTTACAATAATAGCTACTCATTTGATTAAAGTGACACACACAGACTCAAAGGCAAGGAAAAACTAAAACATGCATTCTACTGCCGTGCTTATTATTTATAGGTATTTTATTTTATGTTATTTATTTTAAAATGAAAATTTAAATCTTACTCCTTCAATTTCATTTTAAAACTAAAGATGCAATAGGTTATACAATTTAATGGAATAAATAGAATCATAAATATAAAAATTTTGATTAGACATTGTTCAAATATTGAAATAAATGTTTCTAATAAAATTCAAGTACCAAAAGTGAGTATGTGGTAGATTGATAAAGTGCTACAAAAATGAGTCAAAAATCAGTTTTTATACAATTAAGAAATTTCAGCTTTTATAATTTTTACTTGATCTGTCACTTGATTTAGACAACCAGTTTGCATTAGATATCAAAATTAATTTCCTAAGAGTGTTGGTTAGACTTAAACTCTTTCCACACTTGTGCCCCTTAATAAGAACTTAAGTAGATGCAATGTGTTACTTCATCTTCCAACTCCCTTCATGCTTCAAACTTTATAAAAAATAGGATACATTTAAGTTTCAATCATGTTTTCTCGTTTCTCATTTGAGTGGGTTTGGCAACTGTTTGTGAGTTATTGCATTTATTTACCCTTTCTCCTTAGGAAAACTATTCAAGTCTAAAGACTTACCTGGATTTTTACATTTTTTTTTAATGTTCTACAAGGAAAAACGTATTGACTTACTCTTAGATGAAATTTTTCACATAAAGATATGTGATGCAGAGGAAAAACTAGTGAGTATTTCTTTACTTTACAATGCCAAATGTTTTAAGAAAACATTCTCTGTTTAATGTAGTTATCTAAATTGATTGACTAAGCCAAATCTGATGAGTGCATCAGATTTTTATCTTCTGATAACCTAAATATTTACTGAAATTTTTGCATAATAAATCATGAGAGGCCAAATATGGAGTGAAAAGTAAAAACAGACTGAAACAAACAAACAAACAAACAAAATAGACTGAAGAGAGGCTGGGGTTTTAGCTCAGCAGGTCGTGAGTTCAAAGCCTGGTACCAAAAAAAAAAAAAAAACTGAATAAAGAAAAATAATGGTAGATATAATCCCAAACATAACCCATCAACAAATATGTATCATGAAAATGGTTGTAAAATTCCTCAACCAAAAAACCCTTGCAAATTGAGTACAGCAGTATGTAAAAAGAATACTCTGCATATATGCCAATTGGTATTTAATCAATAGAAAACTGTTTGTTATGCTTAAAAACCATAAAATATGATCCATTAATTTAAGATTGCAAGGAAGAAAAGCTGTATATGTTAATACCAATTACAGCAGAGCAAACATTTGACAGATTTCTACACCTATTCATAACAAAATTCTCCGCAGACCAGGAGAGCTAGGAGTAGAAAGAATTTACCCAAAATGAAAAACTTTCTTGCTGCAAAAGGTACTGTTAAGAGGATGGCAAGAAACTACAGACTAGGCGAAAATATTTGTAAATTCTATATCCAGTGAAAGACTCACACTGAAAAAATATATAAAACACTGAAAACCCAAAAACATATAAACAAACAATCCAATTAAAAAACAGGCAAAAATCTGAACAAATGCTCAAGAAGCCATCCAGTTGTTCCCGCTCTTACTGCAATAGGAAATGAACCCAGTTTTATTTTACCAACAAGCTATCTGAGGAGTATGGGGGGGGGTGGCCCCAGCATTTGATAATACTCTTCGTCTAAAGCTTTTATCAATAGCTTAGCAAATATTGTTATATTCAATTTTAACTGCTTGACTAATTTTGATGTTAATTTAGTTCAAGTTCAATTAACTCTCGATCATTAAATTTACAATTATAAAAATAATTTCTCAGTATAATATTTTCTACTTGTCAGTATTGGGTACAAATGCTGTTTAAGATATTTTTGTGCATATAAATGTGAGATTTATTTTTCTGGATTTAATTTACATAGAATCTATAAAATAATTCTCAGGTAGTGATCATAATCACTTTGCATATTTTTTGTTTTGTTTTTTCGGAGCTGAATTTGGAGCCAGAGCCTTGCACCAGAGGCAGGAACTCACCACTGAGCTCCCACCCAGTCACACATGCTTGTTTTTAATAGGAGTGATGCCATAGATCATCTTCCTTATTTGTATGGAGGTTATCCAATTTTACCCATTAAATGAAGTACAGAATTTTTGTTTTAATCATAGCTTTTATTGTTTAAGAAGATATCAAGGAGGATGTAACTCAATACAGAATTTATCAATGAATATAGAAAGGGGAAGACAATGCTCTAATGTGACAGAAATGGATAGGAATATGCTAAAGATTTCACTTAAATTATTGGAATAAGAAGAAAGGAGAAAAATTCTAGCTATCTCCTACTTTTAGGAGGCAGAGTTAACAAAAATACATGACTTTAGATAAAATCCCTCTTATCTCAACTTTTTTGCTCTATTATTCTTATGAAAAAGAACAAGACTTAAATGTTTTGTTTAATTTTTCAAATATTAACATAAAACTTTAGCAAAAACTAACATGATAAAAACTATACTTTTGATAAATGCAATAGAAAGAAAAATTTTTGTTTTTACACAAGATAATCATTTCTCCTTTTCCCTAGGAAAAATGTGTGAAACGAAAGAGGGAAATGTGTATAGAGTATAATTCTCCTCTTTTCCAGCATGTGGGTATGCAGTCATCAGCACCCGAACCAGTACAACACTTTGAAGTAAGATTTTGGAAGTGCAATTTTGGTAATGTGCAGTGTTTCATGAACTTGTAAAACATGACTTAGAGAAGGTGTGGTAATATGAGACATATGCTGGAACATAGTGGTTTAACCACCATTCTTCTGTGACAGAACTATAAGTTGTGGAGTGTGTTTATAAATTCAGCAAATGTCTTTACAGATTCAGTTATCTATTGTGGTAAGAAAAGTCAGCTTATGTAAACTTCTTTGCCTTATCCTTTTCATGCATGCAATTCAAATAATAAGACTCCAAGTGTTTTTGACAGTAATATTTGCTGTTTTCATGTATAATCCAAAATTATAGACAAAATGATAAATTATGTTATAAATTATAAACATAGAGAATATTTCAAACACTTATTTAATTTAAATTGATCAATATTTTGATTTAGACCACTGTTAATCACATGAAGAAAAATTCAGTGTTGTTTTTTAGTCATTCTTAAAGTCTGCATTATTTTGACAAATAACATCATTGATAAACACTTAGAATCTATGTTAGTCTGTTTTCTGCCACCATAACAAAATACCTAAGACGATCAGTTTAGTAAGGAAAAAGGTTTACATAAGCTCAGTGTTTCAGAGGGTTTACACCTTTGACCCTATTGCTTTGAGCCTGTGATAAAGCAGAGCATCAGGGTGGGAGAAGCGGCAGAGGAGCTCCTCAGTCATGGCAGTCAGGTGAGAATGAACAAAAGAGGAGGTCATAACATCCCTGTGATGGCTAAGCTTCAGTGTCAGCCTGGCTGGCTTGAAGGCCCTTAGTAAATCACACTCCTGCATCTGTGTGTGAGTCAGGAGAGCTGAGCTCAGTATCATATGGGGTCCCTGACACTTCCTTTCCTGAGTGGTTCCCTTGCTCTGCTTCTCAGTCACCATGAACTAAGCACCTCCACAAAGCCTTTCTGCTGTGGGGTTTCTGCCTTGAAACCAGCCTCTCATGGACTGAATATCCTGAAACCATGAGCCAAACTCAACGCCTTCTTTGAGTTACCAGTGTTAGATATGGTGTCTAAGGCACAGGAAAGTGAATATAGTCCCCCCTTCCAGGGCACATCTTCTATGACCTAACTTCCTCCCTCTACCCTCATCTCTTAAAGATTGCACCACGTCTGAGCAGCATCACAGGCTGGGGACCAAGTGTTTAACCCATGAGGCTTGGGGGGAGCATTTATATAGACCACAGCAGGATCTTGATAGAGTATGAGAAACAACACATTCAGAATCAAAACACCAAGAGTTTAGCCAGAGTGACCTAGGTGTATACAGTGTGTCTACTATTTGGCAAGACCTGACACTTCTCTGAGATTTCTCCATCTGTACAATGAAGTGTTTAAATTAAATGATCTTTAAGGCTTCTCCTGCCCTTGAGACACTACCAGCATCTCTAACGTTAGTATCTTCACACAACGAAGGAAATGATTTCTTCAGTCCTTCACCATTTGAGAGGACAAGTGTACACATGCATCACCCATGGCCCACCCTCCCTCCACTTTTTTACTCCATGCCTGTGTGTCCCTCTGCACTCCTTAGAGAAGGGCACGACTGTGTGAGGTTGGCCGGTGCAGGCCATCAGCTGTCAGGTAAGTGGAGTCCAATAGGGAACGTATGCATCAGATAAAACAAAGCAGTGTTTGAAATTAGGAACATGGAACCATTGTGAATCCTTAAACAAAAACTGACATCATTGAAAACATAAAACCTGGCAGCAGATGATGCAGAAAGAAACTCCATTTCGCATCTCAAGACTATAAGCACACATTCATCTCTTACATTCTATGGCTTTGCCAGAAAATATTTTAAATTCACCTTTGTAAAATCATAACAGTTTAAGAACATACACATAATCACTCATACTTTGTGTGCTTTTTTCATTTTTTACGCTTTATAACGTATAAAATAGAAATCCATAGCAATTTAGTAGTACATCAAGTCTGAGTGTATTTAAATTGCTTTTTAAAATCCGTAACATGATTATTTTTATTAGAAGTTTCATAAATTTACAGTTTCTTTAAAAATTATCTTATTCTTTGGAAAAATAAAAAATAAGACTATTTCTCAACGTTTTTAAGTATAAATAAGAAGCTATATTATATTTTAAAAATTAACAATGAAGTGGTAAGTATAAAATTAATACAAATATACAATTATTGTTGTAACTGCCCCCCCAAAACGGTCCCCCCAAGACAAAAAATGGGGCAAGATGATGTTGTTTTAAAAAGAAGCGCTTTTATTTTAGCTGGCCCAGTGATACAGTGCAGATGGAATTTGCAAAGCTGTGCGACTGAGTTAGAATTTTGACTGATTTTTATAGTTCATTTATGATTAGCTCATTGATCATTAAGTACATAGTGATGAGAAACAGAAACAAGGTGGGCCTGTGTTCCCCTTTGCTTGAGGTCAGAGGCATTTCAAAGTGGGTGGTTAGCCAACTCATAGCCCTTGGTCTGCCAACTCCAGGAACTTTTGTCTCTCATAAAGGGAACAATGGTTGATACAGCATCATTTGTCTCTTACACGGGGAACAAAAGTTGACACAGAAAACAAGTTACTAAGGTGATGACGCATACAGAACAGTATGGCGACACCTCAGTTAATTTATGACTAATTTATAACAATATGGTCGGTGCTCCAGGTACATGGTTACTAGGGTGATAAGCACAGAGCATGACATTATCATTGTTAATCTTATATTTTAAATCCTGGTGTTCTGCAGATACTTGCCCTCTATTTTGTTTTCATTCCTTTAAGTCATTCTGAAAACTTTTCTTAAATCTTTTAAATTAGGTATTACACTTATAATATTTTTAAATAAAAGGTAATTTTCTATACTGTAGCCTTATTAAGTTACAAAACAATTTCATCTGTAATCATCTACTTATGATTTTAACATAATGAAACAAAAAACTATAAGGTCTTCTTACTAATGAACCTTTTTAGTTTTTTAAAATTTGTTTGAAATTTGCCTAGATCTTCAATTCAAATAAATGTTCTTTATTGGAACATTGTAATAAACATAACATAATCTTTTGGAAAAGAAAATAGTTTGGCATTAATAATGTAATTTTTGAAAACTCAAGTAAAGTACTTAAAGAGAAAGATTTCTTTTGCAGTTGAAAAGCAAAGAAATAATGTGTTTTTCTATAATTTGCTAATGTTCCATCCTATATGAAAAGCCACTTTTCTTTCAAAACAATGCACTGGGTTCAGGGCCAGATATTTTAATGTATTACAGATGGGTTTGCCAAAATAATTTACATTATACCTGTCTGAATTTTAGTAGACAATGGCTTTTTGTGTATGTATGTCACTTTTGTTCTGTCATTGTTACTGAGCACTATGTCTCATTGAGGATGATGGAGAAGAGGAAACAAGATTCAGCTTTCCCATCAAAATAGTTTTGACTGAATTCTTATTTAAGACGACATCCTTGACATTTATTAAAGAATGATAACCAACATTTTTGCATTTTATTCAAAAATGTTAACTTTTTGTGTTTCTCCTTTATGTAAAGATACATGTGACAATTTTATCTTACAACTTGCAACTAGAAATTTTATGTTTTTTCCAAAGTCTGCCATGGAGACTGGAAGAAGATGGCGGCTTGCTAGGTCGCTGGGTGGAGAGCCTCTCTGGGAAAAACAGCTCAGAATTTGACAACATGGAGAGGGCTGGATGAGGTGGAGAGGAATTCTCATGACCCCAGTAGGAAACTGAAGGAAAAAGAAAAACAGGAAGAGGAAGGAAAAATGCCAGTGGAGGGCGGGAGCCCACACGCTCACTGAGACTGGTCCGTGCTGTGCTGGGCGCCCTGGAGTGGGATGTTTCACAGTTGCACTGAAGCTGAGGGCGCCAATAACGGGAGTTGGTGAGTCCAGGGCGCTTGGTGGGAGGACGCAGCACAGTGTGGAATGGAGCTAAGGTGCAGAGCTGTCTTAATTCTTGGTGAGTGCTGGAAATTGGGTCCTGCAGTGATGTGGCCAGCTGGAAGACATCTTGGAGTGGGGCAGAGCCTGGCACCGTGGTGGTGTCAGTCAGCTGCCCCTGGCCCAGAGAGGACTAGTAGGATCAGCTTGGGCTGAGTCACGCCCCTGGTTAGGACCCAGTAGCCAGGGATGAAACTGTCCCAACCCTGTGACGTCCACCACAGCACAGCCTCAGTTGCTGAAGGCACTTGCCAGTTGACTGGTTCAGAGGAGAGGGGCCAGCTCATAGTCCTCCATGTACCTCAGATAACAGCAAACTGGAGAAGGCAGCAAGCCCCCAGCCAGCATGCTTTGGGAACACTGTAAGCAACACAAACAGCCTGAGACCTCCACCATAAAACATGAGAAGAGGAAAAAAATAAGAAAAAAACCTCCAACCGCTGATCCTGGGAAAATAAGCCCAGGAGAGGTAAATACAGAAGAGAACCAGTGCAGCAATCATGCAATATTGACCACGATATCAATGGACATAAAGAAATACCTTTGTGACCTCATAGATGAACTTAAAACTGAAATTCTAATCCAAGTGAGGTAAGGTAAAAAAAGATTAATAAAAGAAATGCTAAGTCCCTCTCAAGAAGACACAGATAGAAGAATGGAGGAACCCAGAAAAGGAAGAAAAATAAACAAAATCTAGAGTACATGAAACAGATCCAGAGAAATTACCAGGAAATTAAAAACTCCATTGAAAGCTGGCAAAATGCCTGGACAGAATCTAAAGTTAGCCTTTCAAAACTTGAAGAGAGATTTACAATGTGTGATCATGAAACAAAAGACCTATTAAAAATAACAAGGAACCAGGAAGTAAAAATTCAAGGCTGGAAAACGACAAGAGATCTATAACTGAAAGTCAAAGATGAGAAAATGACTCTCCATGTGACAGGGAACCAGAGAGAAATAGGGACAACTCATCCAGCAGCTGCAGATAGGTTAGAAAGTCATGACACTTTTGTGCAGTGGAAAACTACTCAGCTATAAGGAAGGAAAACCTTGTGGCTTTAAGTAAGTAAAGGAATACAGCTCAAGATCAAGCTCAGGGGTAAAAAAGTTTCAACACCACTTAGATAATAGGTTGGCCCTCTAATCTAAAAACTAAAGGAGTTAGTGGGACCCAAAATATACAAAGCCCCCTGAGAAAGGGAAAGGGGAGAAATTGCCTAAAAAAAGGAAGGCAGAGGACATTGTTAGTAGTGTATCAGGATTTAAAAGCCACATTGGTCTTATCGCTCTGTTTAGTTTGATTTTATTTTGTTCTGGTCTGTCTACTCATACTAGATTTGAGGGCACAGACAGCTATCCCAAAAATAGCAGGATATTCTACAATAAATATCCTTAATTCTCTATTAACTTAAACTGAAGCCCTGTATTACTTACATTTTCTTACTATCACTGATCTTATTTGAATCTGGTTTGTTAGATTGATAATTTGTCTTGACTGATTTTATTCGAATTTGGTATGCTAGAGAATAGTATCAAGTCTAAGTAGAGGCAACTACTCTGAAGATGACAAGATATAATAAGATACCCATTCCAGTTTGATTATTAACTGCTTTTGAAGTCCTACAATGTCTCCAATGTTGTGTTTTTATTAAAATTGCTATGTAATGCTATGTTCAATTATATTATGTCTGATGATACAGACAGTTCTATTGAAAATAACAAGAGAAAGCATAGTAACTACTGTAGATCACCTAATATTGTAGTCCTATATGTCTTTTTCACTTCCTGTTTTTCTAGGAATTTGTTTTGTTGTCTTGTTATGATCTGTTTTCCCTATAATACAGAAAGTATAGACATATATGTAGAGATTCACACATGGGGAGAATTTCTAAACAGTTTATGGGAACAGATTATATAATGCAAGATGTAATGAACAGATACTCTGAAGAAGAGACATTAAGAAACCCAGTGCTAATTCTGTTGCATTATGATATAAAATCTACCAATACTATTATTCACTGTTCAGAGTGATATTAGTCTCGTCTCTTATGTTCAATTTCAGCATATGTAAAGATAAGGACAGCTACTACGAAGAGAATGAAAGACATTATGGCAGTCATTATTGACTTCCCCAATGTCAGGTCTTGAAGACCTAAAAAGCCTTCATCATCCTGTTATGATTGGGTTAGTTCTATAATGCTCAGTATGTATTCAATGTGTGTGAAGATGGGGACAACTATTTGGAAGAAAACTAGAGACAATAAGATAGACAGTGAAGATCCCTAGTGGACTTGCTTTGAAATCAGTGTTTCTTAAAATTGTTTCCTTATTATCTGTTTTGTTATGTTTAATCTTACCCTCTTTAAAATAAAAAAAAAATTTAAAAAAACAAAGACTGCCATAATTCCGTTGGTCCTTTGTAATATTTCTCACTACTGTCTTATAAGAAATTCAAAATTATTTTCCTGTAAAATGTAGTAACCATATTACTTTACACCAAGAGCATAATTTCTTCAGTTCTTTGAACTGTAAAATCTCTGACTTTCATATATAATATTAAAGGTTCTTGTATGTGTTGTCACTGCAAGCTACCTTTGGTTATTTGTATGTTTATGTTTTAAATCAAAAAAGAAATTGTGTTTTAAAATATTTGTGTG